AACTGTACTTTAACAACATTCTTCTTGTGCACCACTTGCCAAACAAAATATTCGACTCGAGGAAGAGTCACACCAGCCCATACGTTACTTTTTACTGAAAACAATCGATAACTCTACTAAGAAAAAATTTAATGCAAGATTTCACTGAAAAGCACCCATCTCAAAGACTCTCTCTCGGTATTGCTTTCTTTAAGCAGCCAAAAGTAAACGGACCTTGTTGAGTAAACGCTAGTCCAATGGTGATTCCAAATCCTTGGATCGTGTCTAACCGAAGAAATGGGACAGTTGAGGTTCTTCTCTGCATCATCAGAGTTAAAACCTTGGTTGACTTTATGCGCATCCCATGCTGGTTCACCATCAATCATGAACTCTCCACACGTGATTGAATTTTCAGGATTGTCGGCATAAGTATTCACAAGTTCGATCCGAGAAGAGCTTCCCCAATGATTTGCATAAAATTTTGCCTTGATGTTCGTCACAATCCTCCAGAAGAAAGCTTTTTTTTAGGGTTTCCTTTTCCTTGAAAATACAATTCCAAGCATATAAGGCTCTGTCGTATGACTTTGCATCAAGGATGTCACACCTCGAAAGGATTTGGCTATCAAAACTTTATAGCAAAGAGTGTCTTTGTTATGTAGTAACCTCCACACATGTTTTCCTACAAGGGCAATATTAAAGAGCTTTAAATTATGAAAGCCAAGTCCACCGTTTTACTCAGACACAGTTTTTCCCAAGTAATGTAAGTCAATCCTCTTTCATTGGATTTGCATGACCACCAGTAAGCTCTCATGGCGGAGATGATATCATTAACGATTCCTTCAAGTATGAGATAACAAGATATTACATAGGTTGAAAGAGCTTGTGCAACCATCTTTAGGAACACCTTTCGGCCTCAATATGACAAGAGATTCTTGATCCAACTTTTGGTTTTTCTTGTTTCTCGATCTCTAAGAAAATCAAATGTGTTGATTTTGTTTCTACCAATGGGGAGAATGGGGAGTGAGACCCCAAGATAGTGGCCTGTAGCTGGCGCAATTGGAGCTCCCGAAATTCCTGCAATGGAAGCTTCAGTTTGTTCGCTTGTACCTTTACAGAAGAAAATTCGTGATTTTTCAAAGTCGACTCTTTGACCTGAAGCTTCCTCATACACTGTGAGGGCATCTTTGAGGCTCCCAGCTTTTTGTTCGTGTTTTTTATAAATAGGAGACTGTCATCGGTATATAACAGGTGATTCACTTAAGGTCCATGTCGGATTGCTTGTATTCCACTAATTTGACTTGTTGCCTCAAGCAGCAAAGTAGAAAGGCCCTGGGTACAAAATAGAAATAAGAAGGGTGATAGAGGGTCTCTTTGGTGCAGCCCTCTTTCCGACTTAATCGTAGAAGATATTTTATCATTATTGTAGATACCAATTTTTGTCTGGGTTCTCATTATTTATTAATTTATTTTTTTATTATTATTATTACAATAATTATTTACATTTATTTTTGTAGGCCCAAACCCAATTACAAGACCCAAGAGGATTTAACCAAGCCCACCCGGATCTGACCTGGTCCAACATCCAATCGAAACCCACTAGGGTTTTTACCCTAAAGCCCTAGCCGCCCTAGATTCCAACTGTTGTACCAGATTTTATCCAACGGTCCAAGATCGCCTAAGATAAGGTTTTTAAACCCTAAAATATCAGCAGCAACCACCGCCAAATCTTCAGCTCTCCAATCGACGCATGAATCCCATTGTTCATCTCCCCGCGCGCGTGTGCTACCATCGATCAGTCCCACCGTCGTCGTCGTCAGCCATCCGTACCACACAATGACCGAACCTGCATAAATCAACCTATCAGTCAGAAAATCCGGAAAAAATATTTTAAATCTTATCCTAGATACTAGGGTATCATTACCCTCCCAAATGCCATTATTTCACCCAAAAACAGACCATAAAACAGGAGGAAAAGGAGAGAGAGAGGATTCTGAGAGATTTGAACAAAAGAAAAAAAATCAGAGGAAACCCCATTGTAAAAAAATATTCGAAGAAAATTGAGCTAAAAAAAACCAAGCCACAGTCGAACAAAAAGAAAACAAAAAGAGAGAAAGAAAATACCTCATTTTCCTTCGTCGGACTACAGTCGTGGTCTTCTCCGGTCTCTAGCCTTCAATCTTGGAAGGTAATCACTGGCAATGTTTTAGATCTGGGGTTGAGGGTCATGGTTTAGGTTCGGTTTTTGGTTTAAGGATGAGGAGAGACGTCGTTTGGGACCATTTTTGTCCCTGGTTGACGCCAACCCACGGTGGCCGAAGAGGGGCTGTTCATCTCCCTCGGGGATGGAAAGGAAACTTGAGAGAGTTTTACTCTCTCTAAACAGAAGAGAAAGAGAGAAATGAGGCAAATGAAGAGGATGGGTCGGTTTTGGCTTAAGTGAAATATATATACACCATACACGAAACGACGTAGTTTCGATAGGGGTAAGGTTGTATTTTAGCTCGTGGGATAATCACATTTTTAGTCCCTCTGTCTTTGTAATTTCATCTTTCGGTCATCGAATGAAGTATGGTGTTATTTTGTTTCGAGCACTTGTTTTTAAATGTATGTATTTAAGTCCCATCTTATGTTTTATGTTATTCTTGTTAATGTTTGACTTTGGTCACGATATTTGTAATTATTTCATTTTAGTCATTGCTTTGTAACATTGTTGCATTTAGGTTTAATTGTTATTTTATCCTTTTGTGTTTCTGGTTTATTTCATGTTAGTCCCGAATAATATTTATGGGTTTATTGTGTCTCTGATATGGTTCATTTATTTTAATTTATAAAATGTCCACTTATCAATATTTTTTACTTAACAATAATATATTTTGAATATTTTATTCGTATATTTTCAAGAACTTTGGTTTATAGAACGGGCGTGGAAAGCACCGCTTGATCGAAGTAGTGTAATCCGATACGACATTCTAACAAAATGTGAACATTAAATAAATCAAATCTATTTTCAATGATACTAAATTCGTTATTATTCAAATGATGCAATATGTGTTATTTTAAATAGCAATTTATTTTATTTTATGTAAATGTTTATTTTCAGTTTATATTCGATTGGAGTTTTTATCGAGGAGGGAATATTATTTACATATAAGAAATAGATGAGACAACTTTCCCGATGGAGGATTGCTAACCTCGAGATTTCTTTTCAAGAAAGAATTTTCCCTAACAAATAAGTTGAAGCAAATTAATTAACTTTAATAAATGGATCATACTTTACTTATCGATGCGAATTCACGATTTCCACAATTACGATAACGTGTAAGCGACTAAGTACTAATTTTGGGCGTTGTGGGGTGCTAATCCTTCCCCACACGTAATCGACTCCCGGACCTATTAAATCAGATTTTTGGTAAATGCAGACCAATTTTTGTCTTAAAAAATGATTTTTCTTAAAATTGTTTTAAAAGATGTTTTTAGGTATTCAACCTACCTAATTCAAAGATCGATGATAACTCCATTTTCATTTAATTCAAATAAATTCAAAATCAACAATTTTCCTAAATAAAAGTCATAATTCTTTTTTTAAAATAATATTTAATTGTTTTAAAAAAAATATTTTTAAAAAAATGATTATGATAATTACAATGTATACAATAAGTAACGATTGTAATACAATTCATAATAAGATTCACCTAACCGTCAGTGAAACCTATTTTGAGAATTACTTATCTAAGAAAAACCTATTCAACTCTATCACATAGGTAAAGGTATATTTTATAAGGAACATTTTTTGATGATGTAATAGAAGTCAGTTCGAACTTTAAAGATTAAAGTAAAAATTAAAAAAAAGGTCAAAATATTAAGACACGTATAGTGTACATTTGATGTTTTTGGACAACATTCATATACATTTTTTATATTTTTGACCTTTTTCTTCTTTTATTTCATTTTAACCCAACCCAATTCAACCCAACCAACCAACTTTTGTAGAGGTCGTCAAAAAGGCTCTTCATATAAAACATGCCTTACATTTTTCATTATTTTGATCTTTTTTTTTCTTTTATTTCATTTTAATCCAACCCAACCTACTTTTGTAGAGGTTGTCAGAAGACCCTTCATACAAAACACGTTTTGTATGATGGCTAATTTTAACTTGGCCACTTGAACTCGTATCTTTCTGCTCTCTCACTGTTGTTTCATATAGCGGTAACCTTTCTCTTACCTAATCCCCTATATTTTCTCTTTTCAAAATTGTTTACTCAATTTTATTTGGTAGAGTGAAAAAAAAAGTAAAAATGAAGCATTAGTTTGCTTTGTATGAATGATGAAAACATAGAAAAAATAATAATTTTCTTACCATTCATTACCTGATAGAATTAAAAATAAGAGATTATCATTTTTTTATCATGTAAAAGTAAATCACCCATTTTGGAAATGATCTATAGATTCCTAAAGACCATGATTTCTTTGCTTTGATTTGTCACTTCGTATGTTTGGTTTACTAGAGACGGAGCGTGATACATATTGAGAAATAATGAGGTTCTTCAATAAAAATTTATCTTATTTCTCAAACTTCCTTGTGATCGTGGGATCGAGTCTCATGATGGGCAATTCATAATTGTCGGAGGTCTTCAACAGAAATTGCTCTCAACCTAGAGTTGGGACAACCTACTACCCTACCTCCTCTTATCCCATTACATGGAATAGGGTCAGCTAATTTATGGTGACAAATGAAGGCTAGAACGTTTTTCTTCAGCTGCTGTCCAAAACCTTAGTAAATCAATTAACCTGCTAATTCTGAACTTGTTAAACATCATAGATGTCATAACTGAGAACGAACACGCTGGTTCAGTACAACTCTTGGTGACCATGTCGCTATTGCTTTTTCGTTCACACAAACAGATATCTGCTTCTTCATTGCTATCTGTCACCATTACCTAGCTTTTCTCACAGAATAGGTATTAGAACAAGGGCACTTATAAGTATCAGCTATCAAATGGACAATAACACATGCAAGGTGCAGAGATAAGAAAACTACTGCATCGATTGAACCACAGAAAGGCCAATAGACAATGTGGGCTCAAGGAACCTACTCTATTATAATGTTATGATCTAATTGCAATTGTACAGGCCATGAAGAGCCATAAAATACAACTCGGTGATTGCAGTCAATTTACCTGAGGTACTATAAAATGTCATTGAAGGCTTGGTCTCCTTTTACCGGCGTCAGTTCTCAATTTTTTCACGGGATTGGCCCAACCAACGAGACCACTAGAACTGTTTGATGGGTGACCAGGCTGGTTGAGCAAACCTTGCTGATGGGTGGTCTGTTGGGTCGGTCTAGCATCCTTGGAAACTGAACCTGCACCTGGGCTCCTGATGTTGCGACCTATACTCGGGGGTGAAACAGGGCCAACCGATCCACTCCTAGGCTTTACCGTAGACTTTTCCCTATCCTTCCTCTTCTTCTTGCAAATAACCAGCTGCCCAGGATGAGTTAGAAGAGAATTATCATTATGTTGATACTGTTCCCTGGAAATACTGCTCCCTTTCCCAAGCCTTGATTCCTTTTGGGGCATATGCACTTTAACCCTTGTGTCCTCACCAGCATGAGTGGATCTGCGCTGCAATGTCTTTTGTGTGAGGCTTGAATCAGACTCCACCTCGTTTATCGATTTCTGCCTCTTGTTAACCGCTACCTGTCTTGCAGAAGGACCAGACACGGGGGTAGATACCGGGCCAGAGAAAGCAAGTGCATTTCTAGCTTCTCCGAAATCTGAATCCGGAAATGCAATCTTCAACAAGTCAAAAAACAGATCATGTACTTTCCTCACTTCAGATCTGACCTGTGAATCCCAATTACATTTGCATAGTAAGTACAAAGAATATGACATTGATGGGAGCATTACAGATATAGATACGAGTTCAATTGGCCAAATTAAAATTAGCCATTATACCTCATTTGAAAACCCATAAAAATGCATACAACTTTTTAGTACCAACTGTACATCCGAAACAAGTTCCATAACTCCACTGTACTCTAATCTGTCAACACGCTGATCAATCTTCCGCAAATCTAAATGATTAGTCCCACTTCCACCCATGTAGCCCGAGTTTTCAACCCTCTTCCACAAATCTGTTAAAAGTGGTATAATCTGTTGGCCCTCCTTATCTATTCTCCTCTGAAGCTTGCTAATCACATTTTTGCACTGGAAATCGGATAATTATCTAGTCAATTACTTAAGTCACAAATATCATAAGATAGCATGCAAGACACGAGCAATTAAATAAAGTATAAAGTCGATTCTGAAATGATTTCTTAAAAGTTAAAACGGTAGATATTTCGGGACACAAGCTTCTAATCACTCGGCATATCCAATCCATGGAAAATACCAATGACTTTAAGATCAAATAACATGAAGACTGAATCTAAAAAGCTCAAAAACAGATGTACATGGCAAAATAACCAGGTAGGACAAATCATAAAACCATTATAGACACATTCAACTTCCTAAATCTCAAAAATAAATTCACATGCATCAAATGCACCTGACTTATACAAATGCATGTCCAGCAAAATCTAAACCCAATTTGCTAAGAGAACATTTGGATGAAATAATGTATGTTGAAAAATTAGATGCAATAGAAAGGATATAAATTATGAAAGTGAAGAAATTCAGGACAATCATAGCTATGGTGACTGGTCAGAGCCAGCTACAAGCAATTAAAACAAGATTTCTAAATCCAACTTATCACCACTGACCTCAAGAAAAGAATGTGGTGATGCTTTAAACAATTAGGGTAAAAGTAAAAACATTCACACAATCCAGAGACAAGCATTATAGTCACTTCAAGTATACCTTTCTTTGGATGACATCAGACATCTTCACCCCAAAATTCAACAAACCACTTGTATTAACCAGTTTACTGTCCCGATTCTCTCTCGAGGGTTCACCAACATTTTCCGAAGTAATAGCCATGTTCACTCTACCAGAATTGGGTGATGCATGCAACTTAGATGTATTAGCTATTTTTCTTGAAGGTAAGTTCCTCTTAGTTTTAGAAGATGAATCATTTGGATCATGCCTGAAAGCATTACGCTCACGAGTTGGGTTTGTTTCAGTATCAATCCTAAGTTGTAATTGGAACTTATGATCCAGCTGCGAAGGAAACAAAGATGATTCTCCACGTTGGAGATGAGGCAGTTCGGTGAAAGATTTCTTTGCCCTTTCCATAGTATGACGAGGTCGAACCCGGATACTACGCTTTCGTTTTATCTTGGGCTGGACAACTTGTTCATCTTCACCTTCCTCCTGATCATGAATCCAACTTTCAGATTGCTGGTGGTCTATGTGAGAATCTCCAGATATCGCAATTTCGCCTTCCTCAAGTTCATCATGCTGCCAAGATTAACATAACATGAGAAAATAGCAGAAATCAACAAATTCCATAATAACAAATCATTATAGGAAAAGAGGCATACCAGCCTTCTTGCAACAGCACTCGGCCTAGCATCTAATGCAGAAAGAGATCCAAATTTCTGAGGAGAAACAGGAGACACCATCTGTATTGGTCTTCGACTGTCTAATGATGATCCTGAAGAACCACCTTCTTCAAGCATGCAATTGTTTCTAATGTGTTCTGAAGTCTGGTCATACTCATAACCATTATCACCAAGTGGTCCGTCTTCTTCTGACTGTTCCTTATTTCCAGGCGGTGCACCAACGGCACCACTTAATTCATCTTCTTCAAATTCACCAGTTTCACCCTCTTCATCATTAGCAGAATAGCCATTTCTCTCATCAGAACTTGCCTCAGAGTATTCCCCATTAGCATCTTCTATTTCCTTGTAGTTCAGACGCTTTTTCCCCTTAGGTCGCCCCCGTTTTCTCTCTGTTTCCGTTTCATTTGAGACACCAACAACACCAGCAGTAAACAAAATGTTCTTTGATGGCTTTTTTGATAAAGTAGCGACAGTAGTATTCACTTCTTTTGTACTGGTTCGAAGCCACTTAGGTATTTGTTCATGGCAAGTCATCTCCTCTATCCAATCTAGTTCTTCATCCATTTGATCAAACAACTCAACTTCTTCTTCACTTCTTGCTATCATGCGATTTACCTGGTGCAGTGAAGGAACATCATGGACAGTTTCTTGATACCTCTCCTCGTCATGCAATAATGTTTCCAAAGTCATGCGTCTCTCTTCATGTGTCGTTCTCTGATCAAAACGCCCAGCATTAATTACTTCATCGGCCATGTCAATTTTATACTGCTGAATGTTATTCCTTATGAGGCTCTCAATAGATCCCATATATCTATCCTTACCAGCAAAATCGTCCTCAAAATCAACCGTACCTCGACTCCTTAGTTCATCCTCTTTTTGCTGACTAGAAATTTTGTCAACAACTGCTTCCATGTAAATGACTTTGACTTCCCTTGTTTGACCAATTCGGTGAGCCCTAGCTACTGCTTGTTCCTCATTTTTAGGATTTGGATCAGGATCATATATAACAACAGTGTCAGCAGATTGAAGATTTAGACCACGTCCAGCTGCACGAATGCTTAGTAAGAATATAAAGGATTCAGAGTCAGGGCTATTGAAGTCAACAATAGCTGATTCACGATCTTCCAAGCTAGTTGTTCCATCAATACGTCTGTAGACAAGCCTCCTCCACTGCAAGTATTCCTCCAAGATATCCAGAAGCTTTGTCATGGTACTGAAGAGTAATACACGATGCCCAGTTCTCTGCAGTTTTATTAGGATCCTGTCTAGTATCCACAATTTCCCACAAGATTTTATAAGGAAATCTTTGGATAAGTCGTTGAAAAATGGGTAATTAAGCAAAGGATGATTGCAAGTCTTCCGAAGCTCCATACACCGGTTATTTAAAATTTTGTACACCCTAGCCTGGTATAGCGGATTTTTTTGAACCCTGAGCTTCTCATCTTCAGGATCAACTCGTAGAGTCCCAGTTGACTTTATCCAATCATAAATGGCACTTTGAATAGCTGACATTCTGCATTTTAAAACTATTGAGACCTGCAATTCAGAAATGAAATAACATCATTAGAAGTAGCAGTATGATAAGTATATATTAAAATAAGGCTGCAATAACACCATACCTTTGGGGGAAGGGATCCTTCCACATCTTCAACACGACGTCTAAGCATAAAAGGCTCCAGAATTTGATGAAGTCGGTGGATGATGATAACCTTCTTCTCCGTCTCAAGCCAATCATCCTCTGCACTATGCGTAGGGCCTTCCTTTTGAAATGGTTGTGAAAACCAATCATGAAATGACTTGCGATTGTCAAAAACTTCAGGAAGGAGAAGATTTAACAGTGACCAGAGTTCTTTCAAGTCATTCTGTTTCATAAATAAAACTCACTATTCAGCTCTTCAAACAAATAAAATAATCAATAAACATGGGCAACACTCATAAATAAGAAGCAAAGTGGGAAAAAAAGGCGAATAGGCTTACTACTTCAATACATCAAATAATCGAAACGAATGTATAAACAGAAGTGTTAAAAAACAGGTTAACTGAACAAGCCACAGAGTAAGATATAAGCTAAAGAATGGCAACAAATCCTATTAATTTACCAGCTAAAAGACAGATAGGAAAGACCATCAAAATTTCAACAATGACAAAACAACAGTCTAAGGCATAAATAATCAAGCACTAGCTCCTCTTTCATCCTTCCAAAAGAGATTTAGTGATGAACCAATTAGAAAAGTGATCGTTCAAACTTAGTGCTTGTTAAGAGACTTGCCTATCCCTAAATGCACAGCTGTCAATGTGCATGTGTAACTGCATACACAGTAAGGTTGGTCAACAAACAATGGTGTTCAGATGCCAGTCATGTCAGTAAAGCAAATTTGTTTTCAAATCTTTCTAAATGTATATGCATGTGTGAAAAATTTTCAATTTCTAAACATATCAGAGAGTTTCCTTGGCAGACCTGTAATGGAGTCCCAGTAAGAAGTAACCGCCTTTGGCAGCGGTATCTATCAAGATCACGAGCTAAAACAGATTCTCTGTCCTTCATCCGCTGTGCTTCATCAATTATGATGTACTTCCAATCAATTTTAGAAAGTTTTGACCGATCATACATGATGAATTCGTAAGTTGTCACGAGGACATTAAATTTCATTGCCAGAACCTCCTAATAAACAAGCAAGAGAAAGTTCAACAAATTTTGACACTTGCAAGAACAACTAAACAAAGAAACTTATAATTCTTACTTGAGAAAATAATCTTGAACGCTGATCTTTTCCTCCAACATAATAGATGCATGACAAAGACGGCAGCCAGTTATGGAGCTCACTCTGAAACAAAGAGTACTCATCACTGTTCAATAATATTGGAAAAATATCAAAATAATTAACATAAAGCAAAAATAACACCAACCTTCCAATTTACCAGAACAGCATTTGGGACAATTATAAGATGTGGACCATAGTTTCCTTTGAATTCCATCAAATAAGCAATCAATGCCATAACCTGCACAATAAGGAAAAACCTAAAAAGTAAATAGCAACCCTATTGTATCATATAACTATCTAACAAAATAATAAATGCTGCTCTGGTTAATACTAACACCTTGTCTAACTCACAAATAACATAAGAAATCGCAGTGTACAACTAGAACTTTTTAATATCTAAATACCTGAACAGTCTTCCCAAGACCCATCTCATCCGCCAAGATACCATTTAGTTTATTATTATACAAAGAAAGCATCCATTGCAAACCAACCTACAAAATAAAATGCACAGATTATATGAAAGTTTTAACTTGGTAGGCTAAATAGTTGGAAATTAGAATGAACAAAAACCAACAAAAAGGAAACCCAAGATTTTATATGTAGCAACCTACAAGCTGATAGTCTCGTAATGTTCCAGCTCGTAGCATTGATGGTTGCTTTATGACTCTTTCATTCACCGCATGAGCAAGATTATAGTACCTGTTAATGAGCACGAGAAATGACAACTAAAATTGCCAGAAATTTGGCGACCTTTGCGAAACAAAAAGACTTTGGTATTAAAAAGAGGCTAAATCTAAACAGACCATGAGAGATGATAGTTATCGAACTAAAGAAAACGTGAAAAGTTACTGCATAATCCCCATTTAACTGTCTCGAAATTTAAATCTCATTCCACTCATGATTCATGACTGAAGCACCCTTCTGAATTATCAATAAGTCATACGAAACAAACTATAATCAAATTAAAAACATAACTTACTTGCTAACAGATGAACCATCCTTGGGTGCATTCATTTCCATAAACTGATTTCTTATCATTACTTCCTCTCCAGCACAAGCTGCTGCAACCCTAACTTCTTCTTCTGATAGACCCTTTTGTCAAGAAATATAAAATAAGTAACACGGATTCTACCTAAATAAACAGATGAGGGAAGGATATGTAATACTTTTTTAGCTCAAAATAGAGTCCAAAATTTTAAAGGAACTGAGAAGGGAAAAAACCCTCGAAGATGACCAGAGTGCATACAAAAGAGGCAAAGTTCAGGAAATCCTACCTGCAACCGTGCAGCGACAGCGGCAGCATTTGCTGCCTCCTCCACTTCCTGCTGATTCTTGGCTATAGTTATCTTACTTCCCAATTTGTGAAGATACTCTTCAGTCTGCGTCAGAAATGATGAAAGAACTTCATATCTCTCAGCAGCATCACCAGTTGTACTTGTCTGCTGCTCAATCAACATCTCTCTGTACCTTTCGACATCATTATTCTGTAAGGCCTCCATCCTTTTATTCCTATCATCATCTTTTCTCTTTGAAAACTCCCGTACCATTTTCTCATGGTACTTGGCAACTCCCCTGTTACGAGCAGTTCGTGCATCACGGATGGCCCAGTGAGCCTCCAAGAGCTTCTTACGCCACTGAAAGATGGATTTCAATTGTTTCTCTCTAAGGACCTTCTGAGTGGTTTGTACTTGTCTGGCCAACTCCATACGCTGACGCTCACACAAGCGGACAAATTTTCTGTATGGTCTGTCAGGCATCGCCATTATCTCTTGTTGCTGCTGGTCAACTTCATCTCTTAAACGTGCCTGCAGATCTATAAGTCGGAGCTTTTTTTCTTCAATTTGCAGTCGCAGAACAAGATCTGGCCTAATCCTTTTCCTTTCCAAATTTACTGCTAATAAGCCACCAATTTTCCTTAAACTTTCTGATCGTTTCTTGCTAAGGACTTCAATCCCTTCCTCAAAGAGAAGATCTTTGATATCATATGCCAAAGTCAGATTATTGTTTCCGTTAGGCATAGCTGAGCCATATGAATTGTGTTTCCTAGTGAAGAAGGGGAAATCAAATAATGGTCCATGATACATTCTGGCAGAGCCAAGGTCTTTCGGCTGGGGAGCAGAGTTTACTTGTGCAGGTTTCTTAATTTGCCCTCCGTCAGATGCAGCAACTTCTGGTGCAACAGTCTTTCCTCTCTCTGCACTAAAATCACTAGCGACTGCTGTTTTTGGAAGACCACGTTCTACTTCTTGATCAGACTTTGCAGGAAACACGGCACTTTGCAGTTCGTCTTTTCCAGAAGGTAAAATAGAAGAAAATCCCTTGGCAGTGGTTGACACGCCTTGCATTTGAGCTATTGATGTAGTTGCTTTATCATCTCCACCATAAGCTTCCTCTTTAGTAGCATTCTGTCCATTGGTAGATGGCCCGGCCTGCAAAACTTTCTCCTTAGACTCCAAATGATTCACTTGATCTTCTATACTCTTTCCACCATTTCTGTCCTGAATATTTCCACCTACAGGAGGAAATTGGAGCTGCTGCAGCTCAAGTGGTGGGGGAACAATGGCTTGAAGAAGTTCCAGTGGAAGTGTACGTTCTCCTTTCTGTCAATGACCACAAGCAGCATAGTCCATAAGAATCTTTTTTAGTGAATTCAATTCAAATAGTTGGTAGAAAGGAAAATAAATATTAAGCTGTTGTATAGTATACCTTAATGCGCCTAAATGCTAGTATTTGTGCTTTGAGAACATGAAGTTGTTGTTTAGTGAAACCAGAATGTTGCTGGGGGATCTTGGTAGCTACTCCCCCTTGTGACAGTGAGTTGGTAACTGATCCTCCATCATTATTAGGAGTAGCAGGCAGTGGAGAAGATCGATTTAATTGTTTGATACATTGTGTTTGCGGTGTTTCAGTTCCACCTAATGATTTTTTTGTCAGCAAAGATGGATCGGCACTCTGGCTAATATTTGCAGATGACTGTGGAGGATGCATAAGAGGCATCCCATTTCCATGCAAAACTGTCTGCCTCAGAGGCACTTGATTATCTCGGCCATGAATAGCCAACTGTTGCATTCCAATGTTGTTAGCATTGTTAACCACCCCAGAGGTGGAAGTTGAGCAAAGAGGGCCCGGTATACTTGTCTGTCTGGTTTTTGCAGGGCCAGACTGGGCAGATATATCATTAGATGAATTACCACGGAGAGAACTCTCACTTGGAACTGATGGAGAAGAGACCTGCTGCTTGGATAAATGCATAGGTGATGAATGAGAAGCCATGCTACTTTCATTTGCTTTTTGCTGGGAAGCCATCTTAGACTGCATGAGTAGCTGAGCCATCAAGTTGGCATTTTCTGGTTGCGACAGGTCAATATTGCGCTCAAGTGCCCATGCCTGCAGCTGTGCAGCCATACCAAGTTGATTGTTTCCTGTGTTTTGAACAGTTTGCTGAGCTTGTTGGGCCTGCATTGCCCTTAAAACATTTACAGGCATCGATTTTTTACTAACTGGCGCCTGAGCAGGTGCCTTGAACTCATTTCTGTGCTCAGAAGCTGACACCGCTCCTTGCTCCATCTGCTTTTCAACACGACCAAACTTCTCAGATGTGTTCTTAGAGGATGATGCCTGAGCCTGTTTAGCTTGCTGATGTGCTAAAAGCGTCTGCTGTTGCTGAGCAATGTGGTAAGCATACTGATAATAAGCTTGCTGAGCAGGATTCAGCATTTGCTGCTCAACAGCTTGACTCCTATGCAGGCTATCCTGGGAAGAAGCATGTTGTTGAGCCAGATCAAAGAACTTCTTGGATTGTTGAGGTGATTGCATGGAGCCTGGAGATGAAGGAAAATTGCTTCCACCCATCATACCTTGAAGACCACTGACTTGATATGTTAGGATGGCATCACTTCCTTCAGGTTTTTTAAATAGCTGTTGTTGTAATGACTGCAAGAACAAATATCAATGCTAAAAGTTAAAGCATGAACTTCTCAAACAAATACATAATCTTTGACTAGAAAAAAATCCGCCAAAACTCACTAATTCATCACATCCCTCCCAAAAAAAATAAAACTCCTCTGAACACCCCACAAAAAAAATAACTAATTACTGAGAATTAACTAATCGACTTTGTGTATTATCGCAATTGCATCAGAATTGCATTTATTATACAAAATTAAATTCCCAAAAACCCGCCAAAACTCACTAATTCATCACAAACCTTGCGTAAAAACATATTGAATTCGCAAAATCACGGGTTAAGTCAACCGAATATCCATTGCATTGACCGAAATTTTATAAATCCCATACCTGCCTAGAAGCGATTTGCTGCTGCTGTTGCGCCGAATCAAACCCGAAGTGAGGGGCTGAAACGGCCGATGACGAGGAAGTGGGCGAAGCAGCAGAAGATGTGGACACGGTCCGCCCAACCGGAACCACCCCAGGGTTCCGGCTGGGCCCACCTCCTCCACCACCACCAGATTGCATAAAAACTAAGTCCAATTTTCTTTAACAAAAAGTTCCCGCAAAATCCAAATTATTACACCAAAATTTAAAAAAGAAAAGGAAAGTCCCTCCAAAAATTAATAGATCCCCTTTATTTTCCCTCCGATCCCAACGTTCAAAAGAAAATTAACAAAAAAACAAATAGATGAAATTTGTTTTTGTTTCTCTCTCCAGAAACCCGGAATTTTCGGTAGAAATGAAAGGTAGATCTTGATGAGCAAAGCGAGAGAACCCAATTTCGACGGGACCGAAAATTAAAAAAAAAAAATTCGATGATTCAACTCTCTGCCCTCTAACCACTGATCTCTCTCTCTCTCTTTCTCTTCAGTTTTCACGCAATTTTGCTATTTCTTTCTTCCTCTGGGGTTTTAAAATTTTATTTTCCTTTTTCTTTCTTATTTTCTCATTTGCTTTTTTATTTATGCTCTCCTTCTCTCTCTGCGCTTTGCGCTTTGCGCTTTGCGCTTTGCGTTTTGCGTTTTGCGTTTTGCGTTTTGCGTTTTGCGTTTTGCGTTTGGTGCTTATTAGTGTTAGTTGAGAGGTGGGTGGGGTCCTCTAGGGCCTGGCTCTGTGCCTACGATTAGAAATTTACGGTAAGGGTATAAATGCAATTTAAAGCCCACGTCTTACTGATATTTAGTTTTTTACTGGATATAACGGATATGCCCCTTAAAAAAGCGGAAAATGAAATTGGCAATTGTCTCGGGAATTTATATAGCGTAACACCTTTAATATAAAATTAAAAAAAGTATTATTAATTTTATTATTATTTAAATAATAAAAGTAATAAAATATTATTATTTTTACTTAAAATATTAATATTTTTAACATTTTCGATAAAGTACGTAATAATAATAAAATTGATAAAAATAATAACAAAATTGATAAAAATAATAATATTTATAATAATTTTTTATCAGTTTTATTATATAAATAATAATAAAATCGATAATACTTTTTTTAATTGTATATTAAGATTATAGCATATAATAAGTGTCTCTGACTTCACACTCTCGATAAATAGTACAAAAATCCAATCAATCAATTACTGCCTGACACGTACCCACTACGTTTTGGTCTTCAACTCAAAATTGGAACTTAGTTTTTTTTTTCATGTAAAATATCCATAATATAAACTTTTGAAAGAATATGTATAAAAAAGCTATATTGTTTAAAATTTCAAATTATGTTTAAATTAAAGGAAGATAGAAAAAATATTTTGGCATAAATACAATATAAAATGTATCAAAAATTTAAAATTAAAAATTAATAACTATGTCGAAACAGATTCATTATAAGGGTGATAGTGCAATTCAGATAAAAGATTATGTTCAAAAATTAAAAAAAAATTAAAATCATCCATCATGTGTCTGTTTAATAAAATTGTGACGCGTGTTGTATTTGGTAAGAAAGATAAGTCCCACACTGAATCTGTTTTCTTTACATACGACGAGGAATCATTTTATTCATAAAGTATAATATCTGTAAAGTCTGACACGTTAATCTTTTAATGGTATAATATTTATGATGATAATATCAAAAAAATATTATTACCTTAGCATTGTGCTCTTTCATTAGATTATTTTTGTTCGAAATTTTATTTCGGGTTTTAAATTATTTGATAATATTATAATATAGTATATTATATAGTCTTTTAAAAAATGTATATGTTGATATATATATTCTAATATTTTTTCTTGAAAAAATATACATAGCTTTTAGAATATATATATATATATATATATATATATATAGGGTCGGCCCTAGGCATAGGCCAGGGGGCGACCGCCTAGGGACCCAAGCTTAGAGGGGCCTATTTTTAAATTTAATAATTAAAAAATATTTTTAAATATACTTTTTATTTCAAATACTCTAAAATATAGTAATTTAGTGGGCCTCAATAATTAAAAAATATTTTTAAACATCATTTTTTATTTAAAAAACTCGAAAATATGGTAATTCAGTGGGTCCTATTTTAATGATGGGAGAAATCTAGGCATGAGCCTTCACTTGTCTTCTTGTCATCACCTTCTGGCCTAGGGCCCTTAAAATGTCAGGATCGGGCCTGTATATATATATAATATTATATATTTTAAAATACATATAATTGTTGAATATATATATATAGTTCTAAAAATATATATTATATATATTACATATTATTATAATATATAGTTTTTAGGAAACTATATATAATATATTATATACAAAAAATATATTAGTATGTATATATTATTAGTACTAATAATATTAACTTATTGTTTTGTTTTTGTTTTTGTTTTTCAAGGTCCACAGGTCTAAGTCCATGTCAAGATCCAGTCCAAGTTCAGGTCTAAAATCCAGTCCGTAAAGAGCTAGGGTAAAGGCCCAAATTGAAACCCAATATGCATGGCCCAGCAAGATTAGAGTTTCATACTTACGTCGAGAGTCGCACGCATATCAGCCCTTGGATCAGGTAGAAAACCAACGACTGAGATCAAAGTAAACTAGGAACCGGTCCAGGCTTTCAACCAAGTAAGAGATGTTACATTAGACATAGATGCAATATATACAATCTAAAATAACTTATTAGTCATCATTTCATGAACAAGCAATTAATCACATCATTCAAGCTTCTAGAACCATTTTGAAACTACCCTAAAAGAACTAAATCGATTAGATTTGAAAAATATGGTTGAATGTAATTTATGAACCTTAGGAACTATATTGTAAATATAAAATTTATGAGGACTATTTTTAAAACTTACCTTTTTATTTACTAAATAATGGTTTAATAGATAGATCTTTCAAGGATAAGATTTCTAAAAAATATGGTGACTGATTCTCACATCGTATGCAAAAATTATATAGAAAATACTAATTTCATGGTGTTTCGAAACAACAATTTTGAGCATTCTACCGAAATGGTTTCGAAACCTCTGTTCTAATTCACTATAAATGTAATTTTAAGTCCCAAGTGACCCTCATTTGGTCCCTTGATCACTAAGTGACGTCAAAATATGAATTTGGACATCAGAAAATACTCAACATGCATTACATAATCTCTAAACTCTACTTATATGGCCTATAAACATTCTTGGTCCATTTAAAGACTCTTTTACAACACAATCAAACACTTCTCAACACCTATAAACCTTGCTTGTAGTTCCTAAAGCAAGGAGGAGTGTTAGTTGATGTGTTTAAGACATTTATTTTTAATTTATTTGTTATTTGTGTGTTGCTTAAGTTTAAGAGCATGTTGTTAGTGAATTGTTAATTTTATTTTATTTAAATTTTGGAGGTTGTTAAATAAAATTAGTGTGTTAATTAGTTAACTTTTCTTTTCATTAAAATACCAATAATTTCCTACCCAAATTTTATTTGCCTTATTTATTAAATTCCATCTTTACCTCATTGATTTATATAGAAATTGACAGAAGGTAACGATCAAGGTTATCGGCTATGAAAATTTCAAATCCTATGTATTTTTTTATATTTTCTATTGATAATTTGTTTATTCCTCTTAAAATTTTATAAGTTTGTCTCTCTTCAAATTTTATAAATTTGGTCTTTAGTATAAAATCATGTGTCCGTCCCTAAATAGACATTTGATCCGGATCTGATGAATTTTGACCTCATCTGATCGAGTTATTTTTTTATTTCGAGTTTAGAGTTTATGATTTATAATTTAGGTTTTTTTTCACCCGGCACATCACGAGACATGCATTGGATTGCAACAAGCATAACTGGGACCGGAATAATATATCGGATACTCGAAAAATTGTGATTCTTGAAGATTAGACTGAGTTTGGATGCATTACGATCAACTGCAAAGTCTTGCTTAATGTTCGCAGGGACATTCAAGTTTCGTGGATTAAAAGAGTTGGTAATATAGACTCATAAGCTTGCTCGAAATGTCGCCTTTCGAGGATTTTCAGATTTTGGGAAACTTTATTGTTTTCATTTTGTAGACACCTATTTTTGTTCGGACTTTTAAAAAAATATTATTATTATATATTATTATTATTATTATTATTGTTATTTTTATTAATATTATTTATTATTGTTGCAGGCCACCCAAAACGCTCCACTCCAACAATCGAAAGCTTCTAGAATTGTCACCAACAAGCATCGTCATTCAGCAGCCCTAAATTCATCATCACCAAATGCAAAAGTCAAAAACAAACCTTACCTACCCAATCAAAATCCCACCTAATCTTACCTAATCCACCATTAATCAATGATTCAATTATCCAGTCATCTTGCATGCAAAGACAAAAACAAAGAAAGATTAAATGGAGGCATTCGAACCATTTCAGAGGAGGAGGCAAGCAGAAAACACAAACAGAGGGGGGGAAAGAAAAAACAGAGAGGAAGACTTCCCCTCTCTCTCGTTGATTATTCTCTAAAAAAAGGGGACATTTTGTAATAGCTTTGTAACCGAGGCTCCCTCCAGATTTTCGAAATATATGCAATAAAAAAGGGGTTCGTTGGAATCTTTTCCTTTCTTTCGTTTTCTTTTATGTGTATGTGCTTCAAGAATAAAAACAGTAGAGGGAAATGGAGAGAAGAATACATTTACCTTAAGAGTGACCCTCGCCGGAGAAGGTAGTCGCGTCTAAGGCCACGTCGTCGTTTATGGTGTCGGGTTTTAGTTTGATTTAGGTTATCGATTAGATTCCAAAGAATGAAAGGATGTTGTTGTGGGTTTGTTTTAGGAAGAGTGTTGGTCGTTTGGACAACCATGGGTGGTGGCCGAGAGGAAGACCGATGAGGAACGACGATTGGCGTCATGGAGGGCTCGAGTTTGGCCGGCGATGGCTTGAGGTTCTTTGGATTCCACGGTTGAAGTTAGAAAATGAAAGAAATGTGTTTAATTTTTTTCTGGTTTTCACGTTTCTGGAGTGTTAAAAGGAGGTGTCTTTATTTTAATTTTTATGGTAAATCACGTGTTAGGTCCTTGATTTCTTGAAACTTCATGTTTTGTTCACTTATTTTAGGAGTTAATCATTTAATGGTCCCTTTAATTTTAGAACCCTTTTCGTTATGGTCACTAATTCGTGGTATAATCACCCCTAACTCCCCATAGTCTAGCCGTGTTTTCATATTATGGTCACTAGGTGCATTTATTTTATTTTGAACTCTATATTTTACTTAGATTTAATTTAGTCCTTAAACTGTCATGTTTCTTATTTGAATTTAATTACTGCTTTTTACATTTATTCTTTTTTAGTCACTGCTAGTGTTCTGTTAATTCTTGTTTTAAGTTTTTTTTAATTTTAGCACTTAATTGTGATAATTATTGTTTTATGCCTTAATGTTATTTCATGGTTTATCGGCATTACTAGTGTTTTATTATTTAAAATTTCCGATTGTTACCTTAATTTTTGGTTTTACTATTTAGCTATTCAAATTAATGTTAATATTATTATATATTAAAGAAATTCCTATATACGAGTATTAAACATGTTAATAAAATAAGTTCATTTGAGTTTTCCAACTGTATGTATGTTTACTTATATGTATATCATTTCACCCTATATGTGTATTATTGTTTCATGTATTCTTTGTATGGTAGGTAGTTTATTTACCTATGTTTTAATATGATATATTTACCAGGTATTATTATATTTTCATGAACAAGTATATATATATATATATATATATATATATATATATATATGTTTATGTAAATAAGATAAATGTTAGTCATGTTAAATACATTATATTTTACTACGTGTATGTATACTTTTTCATTAAATACATCTAAATTAATGTTTTAAAACAAATATATATATATATATATATATATATATAATATTTCTTTGTTCTTTAGTGTCAATCTTTCAAGAACATGTATTCGTAGAACGGGCGTGGAAAGTATCACTTGAACGAAGTGGTACAATCTGATACGACATTCGAACGGAATGGAACTTGAAATAAATCTATTTTATTTTATTAATTAAATATTTATGTGAATAATTCAAGGTGTTTTTATTAATTTATTTTTATGCAATTATCAATATTCATTTTATATTATTTTATATTTGATTTGCGTTTTTTAATGAGGAAATTTTCTTTTACTATTAAGAAATAGACTAGTTAGCTTTCCCGATAGAGGATTGCTAATCTTGAGATTTCTTTTCAAGTTAAAGAATTTTTCATAATAATATAAATCATTTGAAGCAAATTAATTATATTTTAATAAATGGATCATATTTTAACTTGATATTCGATTTGTGATTTCCACAACTACGATAGTGTATAAGCGATACAATACTAAGTTTGGATGCTGTGGGGGTGTTAATCATTCCCCACGCGTAATCGACTCCCGAACTCGTTTTAATCAAATCTTTGGTAAAGGCAGACCAGCTTTTGTCTTAAAAATGATTTTTTTAAAATTGTTTTTAAAAGACGTTTTTAGGTATTCGACTTACCTAACACAAAGGTCGATGGCGACTCTTTTCAATTTTATCCAAATTAATCCAAAATCATCAATTTTCCAAAATTAAAAGTCGTAATTGTTTTTAAAATAATATTTAATTGTTCCACCTAAAAACGGTTATGACACATTTTATCTTTGATCCACTAAAAGTGAATTTCTTTACGAAAAGAAAATCCCTCATTAGTTTCATGGCGTGGAAGTTCATATTGAGAAACAATGAGGTCCTTATATTGAAATTTATCCTCTTATTTCTCGAACCTCCTTTACGTGTTTACCTCTATGTATATAGATATAATAGTGGCAAAAAGGTGAAAACATTTCCGGCATCTATCAAAGCAAAGATGTACCGAGGGGTGCTTGACGGTGCAGTTGGCACTCCCTAAATTTTTTTTGAAGTCTCTTATGTTTTAGATTTTTTTTTATATTTTTTTTATTGATTATTTATTTTTATACCCCTAAAATTTTTAATATAACTTTTAAATTCACTCTTCCTCACATAAATGTCTACTTCCTTCCCTGTATGAAAGCTAAAACTTGTTTTATCTGCTGATGACCAAAACCTTAGTAAATCAATGATGCTGCTAGTAACGAATTGAATGGAGTCATTTTGTATTAGATCTTGACAAAGGCTATTTATATTGTCAAATGTAAACCTCTCAGACAAGTTCTAAAACCACTAGCTATAATTAAAAAGAAGGGGGGGGAACTGGTGTTCTGAACATCTTAAGCCAAATGTACTGTAATAGATATTATAAATACTGATTCTAATTCTCAACTTGTTAGACATCATAGTTAGATGTCCCAGGGGATAGAACGGGCACACTGGTTCAGTACAACTCATGGTGCCCGTGTCATTGAAGGCTTGGTCTCCTTTTACCGGAGTCTGTTCTTAACTTTTTCACGGGATTGGCCCAACCAACAAGACCACCAGAAGTGTTTGACGGGTGACCAGCCTGGTTGAGCAAACCTTGCTGATGGGTGGTCTGTTGGGTCGGTCTAGCATCCATAGAAACTGATCCTGCGCCTAGGCTCCTGATGTTGCGACCTATACTTGGGGCTGAAACAGGGCCAACTGATCCACTCCTAGGCTTTACTGTAGACTTTTCCCTGTCCTTCCTCTTCTTCTTGCAAATAACCAGCTGCCCAGGATGAGTTAGAAGAGAATTATCATTACGTTGATATTGTTCACTGGAAATACTGCTTCCTTTCCAAAGTCTTGATTTCTTTTGGGGCATATGCACTTTAACCTTTGTGTCCTCACCAGCATGAGTGGATCCGCGCTGCAATGTCTTTTGAGTGAGGCTTGAATCAGAATCCACCTCGTTTACAGATTTCTGCCTCTTGCTAACTGCTACCTGTCTTGCAGAGGTAGATACCGGGCCAGAGAAAGCAAGTGCATTTCTAGCTTCTCTGAAATCTGTATCTGGAAATGCAATCTTCAACAAGTCAAAAAACAAATCATGTACTTTCCTCGCTTCAGATCTGACCTGTGAATCCCAATTACATTTGCACAGTAAGTACAAAGAATAGGACATAGATGGGAGCATAACAGATATAGATACGAGTTCAATTGGCCAAGTTAAAATTAGCCATTATACCTCATGCGAAAACCCATAAAAATGCACACAGCTTTTTAGTACCAACTGTACATCCGAAACAAGCTCCATAACTCCACTGTACTCTAATCTGTCAACACGCTGATCAATCTTCCGCAAATCCAAATGATTAGTCCCACTTCCACCCATGCAGCCTGAGGTTTCAACCCTCTTCCACAAATCTGTTAAAAGTGGTATAATCTGTTGGCCCTCCTTATCTATTCTCCTCTGAAGCTTGCTAATCACATTTTTGCACTGGAAATAAGATAATTGTATAGTCAATTATTTAATTCACAAATATCATAAGATAGCATGTAAGACATTAGCAATTAAATAAAGTCAATGCTGAAATGATTTCTTAAAAGTTAAAAGGGAGATATTTTGGGATACAAGCTTCTAATCACTCGGCATATCCATTCCTGGAAAATACCAATGACTTTAAGATCAAATAAATGAAATAACATGAAGACTGAATCTAGAAAGCTCAGAATCAGATGTAAATGGCAAAACAACCAGGTAGGACAGATCATAAAACCATTAGACACATTCAACTTCCTAAATCTGAAAAATAAATTCTCATGCATCAAATGCACCTGACTTATACAAATGCATGTCCAGCAAAATTTAAACCCAATTTGATAAGAGAACCTTTGGATGAAATGATGCATGCTGAAAAATTAGATGCAATAGAAACGATACAAATTATGAAAGTGAAGAAATTCAGGACAATCAAAACTATGGTGCGTCAGAGACTTCTACAAGCAATTCAAAATACCAATACAAGATTTCTAAATCCAACTTATCACTACTGACCAGGAGAAAAGAATGTGGCAGTGCTTCAAACGATTAGGGTAAAAATAAAAATATTCACACAATCCAGAGACAATCATTATAGTCACTTCAAGTATACCTTTCTTTGGATGACATCAGACATCTTCACCCCAAAATTCGACAAGCCACTTGTATTAACCAGTTTACTGTCCCGATTCTCTCTCGAGGGTTCACCAACATTTTCCGAAGTAGAAGCCATGTTCACTCTACCAGAATTGGGTGATGCATGCAACTTTGATGTATTAGCTATTTTTCTTGAAGGTAAGTTCCTCTTAGTTTTAGAAGATGAATCATTTGGATCATGCCTGAAAGCATTACGCTCACGAGTTGGGTTTGTTTCAGTATCAATCCTTAGTTGTAATTGGTACTTATGATCCAGCTGTGAAGGAAACAAAGATGATTCTCCACGTTGGAGATGAGGCACTTCAGTGAAAGATTTCTTTGCCCTTTCCATAGTATGACGAGGTCGAACCCGGATACTACGCTTTCGTTTTATCTTGGGCTGGACAACTTGTTCGTCTTCACCTTCCTCCGGATCATGAATCCAACTTTCAGATTTCTGGTGGTCCATGTGAGAATCTCCAGATATCGCAATTTCACCTTCCTCAAGTTCATCATGCTGCCAAGATTAACATAACATGAGAAAATAGCAGAAATCAACAAACTCCATAATAACAAATCTTATAGGAAAAGAGGCATACCAGCCTTCTTGCAACAGCACTCGACCTAGAATCTAATGCAGAGAGAGATCCAAATTTCTGAGGAGAAACAGGAGACACCATCTGTATTGGTCTTCGACTGTCTAATGATGATCCTGATGAACCAGCTTCTTCAAGTATGTGATTGTTTCTAATGAGTTCTGAAGTCTGGTCATACTCATAACCATTATCACCAAGTGGGTCGTCTTCTTCTAACTGTTCCTTATTTACAGGCGGTGCATCAACGGCACCACTTAATTCATCTTCTTCAAATTCACCAATTTCTCCCTCTTCATCGTTAGCAGAATAGCCAATTCTCTCATCAGAACTTGCCTCAGAGTATTCCCCATTAGCATCTTCTATTTCCTTGTAGTTCAGACGCTTTTTCCCCTTAGGTCGCCCCCGTTTTCTCTCTGTCTCCGTTTCATTTGAGACACCAACAACACCAGCAGTAAACAGAATGTTCTTTGATGGCTTTTTTGATAAAGTAGCTACAGCAGTATCCACTTCTTTTGTACTGGCTCGAAGCCACTTAGGTATCTGTTCATGGCAAGTCATCTCCTCCATCCAATCCAGTTCTTCATCCATTTGATCAAACAACTCAACTTCTCCTTCGCTTCTTGCTATCATGCGATTTACCTGGTGCAGTGAAGGAACATCATGGACAGTTTCTTGATACCTCTCCTCATCATGCAATAATGTTTCCAAAGTCATGCGTCGCTCTTCATGTGTCGTTCTCTGATCAAAACGCCCAGCATTAATTACTTCATCGGCCATGTCAATTTTATACTGCTGAATGTTATTCCTTATGAGGCTCTCAATAGATCCCATATATCTATCCTTACTGGCAAAATCATCCTCAAAATCAACTGTACCTCGACTCCTTAGTTCATCCTCTTTTTGCTGACTAGAAATTTTGTCAATAACTGCTTCCATGTAAATGACTTTGACTTCCCTTGTTTGTCCAATTCGGTGAGCCCTAGCAACTGCCTGTTCCTCATTTTTAGGATTTGGATCAGGATCATATATAACAACAGTGTCAGCAGATTGAAGATTTAGACCACGTCCAGCTGCACGAATGCTTAGTAAGAATATAAAGGATTCAGAGTCAGGGCTATTGAAGTCAACAATAGCTGATTCACGATCTTCCAAGCTAGTTGTTCCATCAATACGTCTGTAGACAAGCCTCCTCCACTGCAAGTATTCCTCCAAGATATCCAGAAGCTTTGTCATGGTACTGAAGAGTAATACACGATGCCCAGTTCTCTGCAGTTTTATTAGGATCCTGTCTAGTATCCACAATTTCCCACAAGATTTTATAAGGAAATCTTTGGATAAGTCGTTGAAAAATGGGTAATTAAGCAAAGGATGATTGCAAGTCTTCCGAAGCTCCATACACCGGTTATTTAAAATTTTGTACACCCTAGCCTGGTATAGCGGATTTTTTTGAACCCTGAGCTTCTCATCTTCAGGATCAACTCGTAGAGTCCCAGTTGACTTTATCCAATCATAAATGGCACTCTGAATAGCTGACATTCTGCATTTTAAAACTATTGAGACCTGCAATTCAGAAATGAAATAACATCATTAGAAGTAGCAGTATGAAAAGTATTTATTCAAATAAGACTGCAATTACACCATACCTTTGGGGGAAGGGATCCTTCCACATCTTCAACACGACGCCTAAGCATAAAAGGCTCTAGAATTTGATGAAGTCGGTGGATGATGATAACTTTCTTCTCCGTCTCAAGCCAATCATCCTCTGCACTATGCGTAGGGCCTTCCTTTTGAAATGGTTGTGAAAACCAATCATGAAATGCCTTGCGATTGTCAAAAACTTCAGGAAGGAGAAGATTTAACAGTGACCAAAGTTCTTTCAAGTCATTCTGTTGCATAAATAAAACTCACTATTCAGCTCGTCAAACAAACACAATAATCAATAAACGTGTGACACACACATAAATAAGAAAGCAAAGCGGAAAAAAGGCGAATAGGCTTATTACTTCAATATGTCAAATAATCCAAACGAATGTATAGACTGAAGTGTTAAAAAACAGGTTAACTAAACAAGCCACAGAGTAAGATATAAGCTAAAGAATGACAAAGAGTCCTGTTAATTTACCAGCTAAAAGATTAATAGGAAAGACCATCAAAATTTCAACAATGACAAAACAACATTTTAAGGCATAAATAATCAAGCGCTAGCTCCTCTTTCAGCCTTCAAAAAGAGATTTAGTGATTAACCAATTAGAAAAGTGATTGTGCAAACTTAGTGTTTGAAACTTATGATTCCGAAAGTTAAAGAGACTAACCTATCCCTAAATGCATAAGTGTCAGTGTGCATGTGTAACTTCATACACAGTAAAGTGGGTCAACAAACAATGGTGTTCAAATGCCAGTTATGTCAGTAAAGCAAAATTGTTTTCAAACCTTTCTGAATGTATATGCATGTGTGAAAATTTTCAATTTGTTAACATATCAGAGAGCTTCCTTGACAGACCTGTAATGGTGTCCCAGTAAGAAGTAACCGCCTCTGGCAGCGGTATCTATCAAGAGCACGAGCTAAAACAGATTCCCTGTCTTTCATCCGCTGTGCTTCATCAATTATGATGTACTTCCAATCAATTTTAGAAAGTTTTGACCGATCGTACATGATGAATTCGTAAGTTGTCACGAGGACATTAAATTTCATTGCAATAACCTCCTAATAAACAAGCAAGAGAAAGTTCAACAAATTTTGACACTTGCAAGAACAACTAAACAAAGAAACTTATAATTCTTACTTGAGAAAATAATCTTGAACGCTGATCTTTTCCTCCAACATAATAGATGCATGACAAAGACGGCAGCCAGTTATGGAGCTCACTCTGAAACAAAGAGTACTCATCACTGTTCAATAATATTGGGAAAATATCAAAATAATTAACATAAAGCAAAAAAAACACCAACCTTCCAATTTACCAGAACAGCATTTGGGACAATTATAAGATGTGGACCATAGTTTCCTTTGAATTCCATCAAATAAGCAATCAATGCCATAACCTGCACAATAAGGAAAAACCTAAAATGTGAACAACAACACTACTGTATCATATAATTATCTACTAAAACAATAAATGCTGCTTGTCTAACTCCCAAATAACATGTGAAATCGCAGTGTACAACTAGATTTTTTTTTAATATCTAAATACCTGAACAGTCTTCCCAAGACCCATCTCATCCGCCAAGATACCATTTAGTTTATTATTATACAAAGAAAGCATCCATTGCAAACCAACCTACAAAATAAAATGCACAGATTATATGAAAAATTTAACTTGGTAGACAAAATAGTTGGAAATTAGAAAGAACAAAAACCAACCAAAACGA